TGAAATATAGGGACATACACGTCCATATATATATATATAGATATAGATATAGATTTATAAAATTATAACCCATTGTTTAAATATTAACATTTCATTTGTCGATTGTGTATCATATGACATGATATTTTGCGATTAATTATTAATTAATACAATCTTAATAACTTAAAAATAAAATATTTATGAAATAATGTTCAATTTTCCTTTTTCGGTTCATATGTATGTAACAAGAAAAAGTATTTGAATCGTGTAAAATTTGGCCCACTGAGTTTTTTGGAAATCTCCACGTTTTGAGAACTTTTGTCTACTGCTGTATATAGATAATAGAATGTTTGTGTTTTTCTGTTCCTTGCTTTTTATTATATTTATTCTCTGAGACACTAAGGAAAGAATAAACTACCACGTAAATCTGGACACCAGTTTCTTTCCACATTTCATTCCTCTTTTTAATATTTTTTCCTAAAACATTTTTGATCTTTTAACATTTTATTATACGTACATACATTTTTATTCGCAAGCTCAGAACCTGAGAAAAGTGAGAGCAGGCAAAAGGAGTGTACAATTTTACAAACTGTCTATTCAGCAACTTTTTCCACGTTCTCCTGTCCAGACACACCTGCTTTGCTTCAGACACACTTCCTGCCATTCTCTTTCTGACTCAACATTTTACGTTCTTTCAGATATTTTTCAAATTGTTCCAACCATGACTTTTTCTGCTGTTTCATACTGCGGTTTTCGATCTATGTTCTCATGTATACTATCCTGAATAGTTCTCTCTTTTCATTATTTTATCATGGCCGAACCATCTTAGGTCGGAAACTCCATCTTTTCAACCACATTCTCTTTCAGTCCACACTCCTGCAGCATTTATTCATTTTTCACAGAGTGTCTCTTTATTACACACATTTCGCTCAAATACCTCTAGTCATATGCAGTAATGCGACTTCTGTGACAGTTGTGCAATACCCATGTTTGGCTACCATACATGAGCAGAGGAACTACAACACTTCCATACACAGCTATTTGTCTTAGCTGTGTATGGAACTTTGTCTGAGTTCGAGGAGTCCTAAGGTGTGGTTTTTGACAAACGGAAACCGGATGGCACGATCTGATATTTACTCCTTCTACATAACTTCTATGGTCAATTAACACACACATTATTAAATATATTTTGGTGATAAATTTTAACTAAACTAGTGTTAAAAAGCGCTAAAAATATTAAGATAATTTATGTATTTTTCAGATCACCAAGCTCAGATCATTTTTCAAAGACGTATCGAAGCTGCGATATGAAACTTCAATGCGTAAGGAAAATTCTTTGTTACATTTTCAAAAAATTAGGAATATTGGTTGGACGGCATCCATATTTCTTTATCATTTTACCTATACTTTTGTCTGTTATTTTATCTATATTTATTGGAGAATTAACACCCAGTAACAACTTTAAGGATATATCAATTCCAGATAGAGGAGAACTATTTCAAACTAAAAAATTTATAGAAAAAACCTTTTCGTATAATTCATCTGAATTTTCTGATCAGATAAGAGTTCCTGAAATACCCAATTGTCTGTTTATACACGTGTTGAAGAAAGATGAAGGAAACATGTTTGAGAAAGGTATTCTTTCAGAAGTAAAATTGATTGATGAAATCGTACGAAATATAACGTTAGAAACTGATGGAAAGTTAACAGAATATAACGATATTTGCGCTCTTATGCACGAAACATGCTTTGAAAATCCTATTATTGAGGTGATATCTGAAGTGGGAATAGATTCTATAATACAAAAGAGAAAGAAGCTGAAGTATCCAATGGATATAGATTTCATGTCTTTCACTTATAAAGCCTATTTTTTAAATTTAGGAGGCGTTTCTGAAGACAATTATAACATTGTAGATAAGGTAAACGCAATTACGCTAATATATGTAACTGATGAGAAAAATAAAGTTAAAAAGAAATTGTTTGAAAAATGGTCCACTCATGTTTATGATATGATTCAAAAATATCATTTTATAGACATCACAGTTGTTCCAAATTCTCCATTAGCTATAGAAGAAGGATTTCACAAAGAATTTCGAAGAACAAAACCTAAAATAGGAGGTTTGGTTGCATTTATGATTGTGTTTTCAATATTCCTTAATATGAGCAATAAATGGGTGAGATGTAAACCTTTTCTTGGGGTAGCAAGTGTAATCAACGCTGGTTTAGCTATTGTATCGTCTTTTGGATTAATGGCAGTGTCAAATGTAGAAACTACTTATTGGAATGTTACAATTCCATTTTTAATTCTCGGTAAGTAAATCACTGTTGCTGCAAACAAACTGTAAAGGTGGAACTGTTACGTTAAAGAACTGATTTATGTGTTTTTCAGTGACCGAGATAGATGATGCCTTCGTATTAATAGCAAATTGGAGGATGACTAATCCCAAACACACAGTTGAGGAACGCATGGAAGTAACATATTCTGAAGCAGGAGTTTCTATTACTTTAACTTCACTTACTAACTTCATTTCGTACTGCATCGGGATGATATCCCCTTTTCCTTTCATTCGAATATTCAGTTATTATACTGCTACTTGCATAATTTTCAATTATGTATATCAGATAACGTTTTTCGGAGGATGTTTGGCGTTGAGTGGATACAGAGAAGAAAAGAATCTTCGTTCCGGAAAATTTGTTAGATGTGGTAAGTTAAACTCTATTTTGATTGATGGCTTATATTGATGGATTATATTTTCCGAATTTAATTTTTACTGTTGAGAATGTTAGACGATCTCAGAAAAATGTTAAAGTAGCTTATTTTTATGTAACTAGAATATCTGTTACTGACATTGTGAGGTTATACTTTGCTTTATATAAATTTTAGTTTATTTCATTTGTGTTAGTTCAGGTAAAAATTGAATATTATTTTTTATAATTTTTTTGTGAATAGAAAAAACGGAATTAAGAAAAAAGTTGTATTTCACCATGCATCTATTCCATTGAGTGTACACCAGTGTTCAAAATTAAACTGCAAGCTGTAATTTTTATTTATTTTTTAAACAACGGAATAAAATAGAATACCACCATTTTTTTTTCTCGTTTTGAATCAGATCTTGAACACCATTATGGTGAAATTTCAAGACCTGTTCAAGAAATTCTTTAGTAGAAAGTCATTTGTTGAGGACTAGTAATCCTTTGAACAACTTCGAACTTCTGATTTGGATTTTGAAAAGTATGTCTTGTTGTCGACAGTCACATATATTCATAATATTCCATATGAAACGTATAATTATGTTAAAAAAAAAAAGCAACTTCAAATTTGAGATTTTCAGAATATATGGTCATCCACATTGAAATTGTATACAAAATTTTTCTTCCAATAAATTACGGTACTATTTTTTTATGTTTGTGCATTATGACATACCAGAATTCTTTACTTTCTGTTCGACAAGTCGATATCTTTGAAAATTATTTTTGTTCTTATTATTAACTTTATTCTGTTCGGCCATGTTCACAATAAAGTGCCCAGGTGATAAGAAAATAAGTATGATATACCCAGAATGGTCTAACTCAAATATTTTGGGATTTTCGATCTTACTGTTTTTGTACCCAGGTCTCTAGAGCGGTAAACTGACATTTTAACCACTTGACCATCCGGCCGTCACGTTTTGTACATTATTTTTGGACACCAGCATACAGACAATGTTATTTCTCTTAATATTGTTTTTGTTTGTATAGTATGCGTTGATATTTCTAATGAATATTAGTGTCTGAAATTTTAAATGTAATATATTCTGAAGTATTATTCAATCAGCAGTGAATATTGTTCTTCTTTTTACAGACCTTATTAAAACGGAAAATTGTCTAAAATAATCATATGTAAACAGTATTTTGATAGTCGACGTTTCATATTTTCACGAAGTTTAGGGTCCTGATTTCTGAATATCATTTTCTTAAACAGAATGTAATTCCTTCGGTTTTGTACTGAATTTCTAGCAGATGGCATTAAAACTATTTTATGAGAAAGAACTTTTTTGTAAATTTTTATGAACAAAAGTAGGTAGAACCGAACAGTTTTTTGCTAAAATAGTATTTAATTCTTTAATAAACACACGGTTCACAATTTTCAAAATTTAATTTTGTAATTTTTTATGAAATTTTAAAGTTTGGTACTCTCTGCTTTCTTTTTTGATAATTTATAGAAAAAGATTATCATAGAGAAAGCATTATATTTAACGCCGTCTGTTGTTGATCGCGTGAATAAATAAAGTAGTTACAATTAAACTTACTATTAGCAGAGTCGATAGATATATTGGTCCTTGGCTGCCAATGGCACTAATGCTACAATAGTGGTGTAATACATATTTCTGCCATTTCGAGCGCTTCAATCGCTTCACGGCATAAGTGTGGTTCGTTCATAGGGAAAGTCAGCTGTAAACATTCCATATTCTTTTAATATATAAAATTTTTACCCTTTTTAACTAAGATATTGCTTTTGTCTTTTTTAAAGCACCGCTTATAAATACTATTTTAATTTGATTTTGAACATTATTTTTTATTCGTAAATATCGTTAATATTTACATTTTTATTGACTGTCGCTTTTACGATTTTAGACTTTAAACTGATAACACTGTTTGTTTTTTGTTCACAATTTGTATTTATTTTAAAATATTTTCGGAAGTTTTCGTTAAGGAAAAGAAAACGTAGTCAAAAAATTTATAGTTATGTCTTATTAATTAGCATGTAATGCCATCTGGATGTTCAGGAACTCTAAATCGAAAATAAGAGTTGTCGATGAAAATTATATACATTTAATTATGGAAATGTATAGGAATGATAAACCATGTGTTAATACAGGATAGATTTAAAGTATTAGAAAAAAAAAATGTAGTATTTAGAGTTGCTTTGGAGTTTATCAAAATTAAGCCCATATTTTTTCTTTATTACTATTAAATGAATTATTGTAGTTTGCATTGAGAAAGGAGCTATGATATATGTTATTCACTATTTATATTGTGTTTATTAATGATAAATAAAGATTAAAATTGAGCCAAAACAAAGTTAGGAACAATCTTAGAGAGGGGATTAAAAGTCAGTAGATTTAGTTCTTGGATTTTATATATAGGCTGTTAGAAGAAAAAGAGAAAATTACATCTATTTAGACAACATATTCAACATATTTACAGGCAGATAATTACTTAGAGGTATCTAGAAAATGATAAGTTAGAGGTCGACAAATAATACAGGTAAATGTATGATAGCAACAGTTCAGACAGTATTATTAGATATTGACAGCGATAGTAATTAGTGATGACAAAGAATCTAAATGAAAGGGATGTTAGTGATGTTTTAGGCCTATATAAACAATGAACAGGTGCAGAATTTTTATTCATACTCTACTTTTGATAGTGCAGAATCTATATATATATAAATGGACGTATGTGTATATTTTACTTTTCAGCCAAAACTACACATCGCACGTGAATAATGTTTGTATGTGGTAGTAGCCTCAAATCTCCATTCGTGCATAGGGGTGGTTGCGTCTCGACAGCTATAAGGGTGCGGGTGATATGGGCTTGAAAGTGGTTGAAAGTGGAAGATTTTCTATTTCGATTTTAAAAATTTTCGAATTCGAATTCGAATTGGTTCGATTATAGAACAATTGTAAACGTTCCAGAAAATTGATCAAATTGAAAATAGTTCGTTTGACTGGACGTAAAAATTCTCTAATTAGTCTGGAAACGGGTGACCTAATTCTTGCATTTTGTGAAAACGGGTAAGATTGGCTATAATGTAATTATCTTAATCTTCACTATCGTTACTTTTTGCCCAGCGAAGCGGGTCCTTGCAGCTAGATTCTAGATTACTTAGAAAAACAGTCTTTTATATATATAAAAAAAACTATATTACATACAAATAAAAACCCAGCGAAGCGGGTCCTTGCAGCTAGTATATATATAAAAATGGACGTGTATGTCCCTATATTTCACTTTTCCGCCAAAACTACACATCGCACGTGAATGGTGTTTGTATGTGGTAGTAGCCCGAAGTGTCCATTCGTGCACTATGAGGGTTTCGTTTCGATAGCTATAAGGGTGCGGGAGATATGGGGCTGAAAGTGGTTAAAAGTGGTTTTCTATTAAGAATGTCATGTTCGAATTAAATTCGAACATAAAATTCGAATATTGGTTCGATTATAGAACAATTGTAAACGTTCCAGAAAATTGATCAAATTGAAAATAGTTCGTTTGACTGGACGTAAAAATTCTCTAATTAGTCTGGAAACAGGGGACCTAATTCTTGCATTTTGTGAAAACGGGTAAGATTGGCTATAATGTAATTATCTTAATCTTCACTATCGTTACTTTTTGCCCACAAAAACCCAGCGAAGCCGGTCTTTGCAGCTAGTATCATATAAATTCCAAAATAATAATAAAAACAGATGGAGTCAGAATTTTTTCCTTATTCTTCTTACATAAATGTAAAATATACGAAAAAATTATATTTTTCTTTCACTTCTGACTTTCTGGATATTATATAACTTCAAATCTTAAAACATTAAATCAATAATGAATAAAAAATTAAAGTTAAAAAGGTCTAAAAAGAAATCAGTTTGCAGAGAAAAACTTTTATTTACATTACTAACAAACTCCCCAAATGTATTTCGCCTACGAAATGCCTCTTCAGTGGGGCTAACAGTACATAGTTCATGTTTTCACTGTACTGTACTGAAACTCGTATAATAAACTCTGAGTAATTGTCTCTGCTCTGCCAAATGATACTACAAAGTACACTGGGTGTCTTGGATTCTATTAAGTCGAACTTGGGATAAATGCTCAGGCTCTGGCTGTTGCTCTGGTGATACAACCCAAGAGGGAACCAAATCTAACTTCCTTTCTTGTCTTCTTTGCCTTCTTCTCTCTCAAGTCCAACCCTCTTACTAGATATACGTTTTAGTACAGCCTGTACTGCACTTAGAGTTTTCTACCAAGGAGAGACCAGCTCTTAATAACAGTCAGTGGGGTCCTGCCAAGTGCATCCACTGAGTTTATAAGTCTGAGTTTCAGCAATGTGAGTATCACTCCTCACTTTATTGGCTTCGGCATGCAGGCCATGGCTTCCAGGCCAGCTTTGGGTGTGTGATGCCCAGTCTTTCCCCTGGGAAACTGCTTCTCTTTTTACCAGGCAGAAGGAGATTTACGTGGTCTGCGATATTATGGGCTGAGGCAGTACCGAGTGCATTCGGCCACCTTTGCATTCGAACATAGGCCCCATGCCACTGGGGTGGATGCTGGAGTTATTTTGTGTGTCTCAGATTTCAGAGTGTAAGGATTATCAGATCCATGGCTTCCAGTCTCTGTACCAACGCGGGAATTGAATCCATAATTTCGGTGTCCTCTGTGGCTAGTCAAGGATTTTACACACTAGCCCAGTTTACAGTGTCCATTTCCCTACAAGCAGATGCTTTAACCATCGCGAGTAGGGGATCTCGGAACCGTTCTGCTGAAGCAGAGGGCTCCTACCACGTTTCAGCAGCGCCCCTATCAAGTGCCATCAAACCGCAGGCCAACGAGTGCTTACATTTCCATCAGCAGGTCTACCAACTTGCGTCAGATAAGTCTAAATGACTACACTCCATTTATCTTGTCCAAAGTGGGACCTTTGGATCATCTATATCCGCCGCCTCTTGCCGCTAGGTACCCCCGCTAAGTCCAGGCCTCAGGAACTGATGAAACTATATATGATCTTCTCATAGAAACCGGGCATTACGTTATTACACTTCAAATCTTTCTCTTGGAAGCAGTTTATAGATGACTTGCGCGACTCTATTGTTAAAGGTAAAGTAAGATGTACGTAGGCAAACTAGTAATTTCAAGTGAAGAGAATATATTTTAATTTAAATACATAAAAATATTATTAAAATTGCATCCTGGCATTGTAACAATGACACAATATGTAATTTCTCATATACATTTTTTAATTCATGACTGTTTTTAGTTTTTATATAATTTATGAGCAATCATTTATTGTGACATCGTTACAATGCTGCACTGCAATTTTTTTAATTTATTAATTTAAAATGTATGCTCTCCATCTCAAATTAGTACGGTTTGCTCCTGTACATCATACTTTTCCATTAACAATACAGTATTACCGGTCACCTCACAATTTTAGGGAAAAATTTTTAATTGAGCGATCATTTAAATAATGTAATTTACGGTTTGCATCTAAATTCGTGTAGTTCATCCGGACATCCTGCCCTTTCGATTTCCATATCTTGTCTCGATTTTCATCTATCTGAATTTATTCTTGAAATTAAGGGATCTAGTATTTATAGGGAATTTATACAATTTTTGAAAATTGCAGCCCCAAAAAACATTTACTGCATGTAGAAGATGACTATGTTTTTTGGACAATAATCAAATCAGATCATAAAAGTTACTTCCTACTAAGCCAAATCTGACAGTATTATTTTAATCTCATTTTCACCAAAATACTCTTTATATATAAAATTTATAAATCTTGACCATGTCCGGAAAAATGTAATGGAGAACCTTTTTGTATTGATTAATTAATTAACAGTTTTACAAGATTCCAGTGAGATGTCCAGATGACAAGAACAAAGCCTGATATATCCAGCACATTCTGAATAAAAAGGATATGAGAAAAATCATTCATAGTATTGCTAATTACAGGATGTGATTTCTAGTCCGTGTGAGAAGCTTTTAATTTTTTTTTTTTCAGGATGTGTTGGATATATCAGGCTTTGTTATTGTCATCTGGCCGTCTCACTATGAATTTTCTAAAATTCTTAATCAATACAGAAAAAAGATATTTTCAGTGCCCATAGAACAGAAATAGATAAATAGTAAAATAAACGTATTAATTGTAACTTATTACATTATTTCGTTTAACCAAAACTGTTATATTTTTAATGTCATAATAGGAAACATAGAAAAAAGAAAAATAATTTCATTGTAAACCATAATAAATACAAAATAATTTGAAAATTATAAAATACTACGTTGAATGTGATGCTAAATAGGAGTTATGAAATTCGATTGAAAAAATGAAAACTATGTCCCAAATGCAAAAAAGAATATCTGTTTTGACTGTGCCTTCCCGCAAATAATACCTTATAAGTTTTAGTGACTACTTTATAATTATTTATTAATTTTATTTATTTTTTATTATTTAAATGCTTATTTTATATATATTTACTTATCTATTAGAAGGTTTAAAACAATTGTACATTCAATTTAACCTGATATTTTTGATTTATCTGCAAATGTTCTTCTAAATATCAATTTTTGAATTTTTCCTATTCCAGAACAAAGCGAAGAATATCCTGAAAACAATTATAATAGTACAGAAGAAGAATTTACTATGGCATTTTTTAGAGATTCATTAGGAAAAATACTTTCGAATCAATACGTGAAGATGATCACAATCCTAATCTACGTCATTAATTTATTAGGTGGAGTTTGGGGCATATTTTACATTCAGCATGGCATCAAGTATGAAAACTTATTTTCTAAAGATTCTTTGCTTACAGAGAGCTACAGAATTAGTTTCAAGTTCTTCACGCGTTACGCATATCCTTTTCACATAATTCTTAATGAAACATTGGATTATTCAGATATAAAGGTACAAAAATCAATAGAAACTCTGTTAAGTAAATTCGAGAAACATCCAAATATTGCTGGGGAAGAATTTACTGTATCTTGGTTGAAATTCTACAAAGAATTTCAGAAAAGTCCCGTAGCAAAATTTTCATTACGTGGTTACAATATGTCAAATAAGCAGGATTTTATCGATGGACTTCGCAATGTATTTTTTAACATCAGGGCTGCCCAGTCACTGTCTAATGACGTCGTTTTTAATAGTAACAAAACTGACATCTTATACAGTAGATTTTTTATCATGGGAAAGGATTTAAATTCTTCATACTCAGAAAGTGATGCATTGAGAGATTTGTTAAAAATCGCCGAAGAATCAGAAATTCGTGTACTGGTGCATTGTGTTAAATCAGGTTTAATTGAACAAGGAATCATCATTGGACAATTGATTTACCAATTATTTTGGATTACTGCTATACTGATAACAGCAATCTTCCTGTTGTTCATTTCAAATTTATTAGTCGCAATTACTGTTGCAATATCTGTGGTATCTGCAATGATAGAAACCTTAGGTTACATGTCCTTATGGGGAGTCAATTTGGATATAATGTCGATGCTAAGTCTCATATTATGTGTAGGATTCAGCGTGAATTATCCTGCTCATATTTCGTATGCATACGTCATGTCACAGTACAAGACACCAAACGAGAAATTACAAGATTCTCTGTATCGTGTAGGCTTTCCAATACTTCAAGGATCTTTGACCACGGGAATAGGAATATTGATTTTATATTCTGATGTATATTTTCTTTCAACATTTGCAAAAATTGTAATTCTTGTTTCTATACAAACGGCTTTCCATGCGTTATTCTTTATTCCAATTGTTCTTTCATTCATTTATGCTATATTTGAAAAGATACAAAAGATAAAAGATTACTTGTTAAGTTCGACATTGTCATTTCAGTGGTATTGACATTCTTTCGTAATTTATGAAAAATTATTAAATAAACTATCTTTATTATGAAGTCGTTCTAATCAATATATGAAATTGATTTTAAAAAACGGCAAATTGAAGTTCTATTTTGATTTATATTAACTCCCGTTTAAACTGTAGTCACATATTGCAGGTTACAATGTTTACAATATTTATAAAATTTTGTCTCTATCTAGAAAGGTATAAGTTACTAGAAAGTGAGACTTCTGGCCATATATAAAGACCTCATTCTTTTCAAAATGTCGTGAATGATAAATGACATATTTAAAATCGTTTTTCTATTCCGTGACATTGTTAACTAGTTTGATATCTACATGGAGTGTATGATACATATATAAATGAAATCTTATTGTGTACTGGCACAATGAAGTGACGTTTTTCTCAACACTGGGCTAGTTGAATCTTTTATTTAGTTAGCAACATCAATAAATGAAATCTGTCTGTCTGTCTCTCTCTCTCTCTCTCTCTCTCTCTCTCTCTCTCTCTCCTCAACCAATCGTTGGTGCAAATATGGATGAGTGCAGTCTTATAGCTATGATGGAACATTGTTTTAATAATGTGAATCGAAAATGTAAATCACTTTCATTTAAGTATATTTATATATCAATTGCTTTACCTAGTTGAAATTTAACTTTTATATGAAGTAATGATTGCACTTTATCATATTCTTGTCAATTTTACAATTTTTTAAAATATATTAGGGGAGATCGGGGCAAGATCGGCATGTTAAGCTTTACTTACATTTTGTGTAATAAATACTGCTGTAAACTGAAAAAAAAGCTTTGCATATTGTCTATTGGAATGTTACCTTACTATAGAACTGGTTAAAATCAGTTTGGAAATAAAAATAATTAAAATAATTACAACTTTACAAGAAGAGAGAAATTGACGAAGTTGCCCCGGGTATAGGGGCAAGATCGGCAA